GCTGCCCCGCCCACCGCGCGGGGCGGGGTCCCGGACCCGCCGGCGCCCCCGACGGACGTCCGAGCGCCCATCGGGTCGAGCGCGCCCCCTGGCGGCGGGTGCCGGCGGGGCCTTCTTGACCGGGACCCTCCGAGGCCCCCCAGAGCCTGGAATTTCCGGAATTCCTGCCCCGTCCCCATCTGAGCTCCAGGAGGCGCCCTTCGGCTCGCCCGAGCCCGGGCAGGCCTGCCCGCAAAGGCGGAGACGCGACGGCCTCGCCCAGGCCAGAGCCCCCCGCTTTCTCAGCGCCCGGGAGCCTGGAGGCCGAGCCCCCCTCGCGTCCCAGGCCGTCTGTCCTCCCGGCCCGGCCCTGGCTCGGCCTCCGGCTCCCCTGTCCCGCTCCACTCCGGCCTGCTGCCTGCACTGAACCGGCCTTCCCGAGGACGCCGGCTCGTCCGTCTTGTCCCTGGCGACGGGACGTTGTGCTCAGCTTCCTCCGCCTCCCCCGGGCCGCCTTTGCGCGACTCCCCTTCCCCCTTCACTGCCCGGTCTCCGCGCACCTCCGCGTCTCGGCGTCTCTCTTCTTCCGCTGCCCCTGCACCTCGAACCTGCTGTCCTGGGCGCCCGCTGCCTCCACTCGTCCCCAGTGGCCTCCTCTGTGACCTCCTGTGACCTCAGCCGCAGGTCTCATGGCCGCAGCTAAGCCATGCCATCTGTCGCCAGAAGCGCCCCACCCTCCCCAGCACGGTCTGTGTTGTTTTCCCCCAGCCCCCTGTCAGCTCCCTCTTCCGCCCACCGGCCAGCTCCTCCTGGCTTCACCTTGGCCCCTGGCCCTACCCAACCGCCTTCCATCTCTCCCCTGCCCCTTACAGCAGCTGCTCTCGATGGTCAGTGACAGGGACAGTTCAGGCCACCACATCCTACCACACACACCCCCCACGCAGCAAATGTCTATAACTGGCACCCACTCACTTTTCCCTCCCTCGGGACACAATGGGGCAGGCACCTCCAGCAGTTGGAGACAAACGCCTCCACCAGAGCTCTGTGGTCCCCTCCCCTCTTGCCTCCCCAAGGGGCTTGCTCCAGGGCCCCCCCTTTCCTTAGTCTCCATGGGAAAGTTTAGCCCTCAGTCTAAAAGCATTCTCTAATCCTAGTGCTTTGGGAGTCCGAGGCGGGAGGATAGATTGAGGCCAGGAGTTTGAGACCAGCCTGGACAACATAGAGAGACTCTGTCATTTAAAAAAAAAAAAAAGATACTGCTAGTACCCTTCCACGGACTGGGGTCCCTCTACTTCCAACCCCTCACATCTGTTCCTTTTACTTCCAGCCCCTCGTATCTGTTCCTCTCTCAGACTTCTCCAGAGTGTCGTCCAGATTCCTCCTTTTCCCCTTTGCACCCCAGGCCACAGCCCCTCCTGCATCCCCATCTTGGTGTCAGAGCCACAGCCCTTCCCACCTTGACCACCCAGTGCCTTCTAGAGATGCTCCCCCTCCCCACACCCCGCTCTGCCCTCCTCACACTCCACAGACGCCGAGCGTTCGCGCAGACCCAGGGCGCTGGGGACACAGCTGGGAACAGGTGGACGAGGTCTCTGGGCAGAGGTCGCGGCTACAGGCAGGTCGACAGGTGTGTAAACAAGACCAGCCACCGAGAGTGCTTTGAAGAAAATAAAGTTGGGAGTGACGAGAGTCCGCTGTCCACGGGTGGTCGGGGAAGGCCTTCCTGAAGAGGTGGCATTTGAGCTGTGAGGCCAGAATGACAAGAAGGAGCCAGTCGCGTGAAGGTGAAAGGGAAAAGATGGGCACAGCCTTGGTGTCCCTGAGACTTGTCCCTTCAGGGCCAGGCTATATGTCACCCCTTCCAGAATCCTTCCCTGACCCCGTGCTCAGGGCTCCCAGACCACCTTCGCCACCCGACCAACAGCACGCCAACCTGCC